ACAAGTGTGTAACACCGGTCAAAGTTTGACACTTCTCTGGCCATTATCTCCGTAACCGTTCAACTTTGGACATAGGTGTTTTGGGTTATATCGGCATACTTTAACATAAGGAACATCCTCCCGAAGTTTGGTCCATTCCTCCCTGCATATTAAAATTTGTTAGATTTATCATCTTAGACGTATTTCAAACTCGCGTATTATATCATTCTTCCGCTATGGGAGTCGTTCTTCCTATATTTTGTGTCTACTGTGTCTTGTGATGTGTCCTTTAGTGGCTGCGTGCGTTGTAATGCACCTACACAAACAATATACAGTATGAAGCTCTGGTAGGATGTATCCAATGTTCCATTTATTTCAGAATCAACTGACTTCAATTTGTTTAAATTCAGATGCCAAAACTCTTATAAACATCTCTACCAACCAACACTGTTTACGTTATGGTGGAAATTGTGTTGTAGAATCTTGACTATTTAATTTATTTTCCAAACATTTACCTTTGCACCACCTGCCTGTGCATNAAACGACACATGATGACGAGCAGTGCAATAGTTTAACATAAATAACACACCTGAGGATGGCACAGTGATGCCGAAACATGTAGTGAAGTGACAAGTGAGACTGTGTGCACTAGAAGACGGTCAATACATACACATCATGGATGCGAATCAGTGCAACATGACGCTAAAATACAACATTAATAGAGATCTGTACAAATCAAATCATGAGATCCATAGCTTCAGTACTAAACATAGCACAAACTTACACCTTCCTACCTCACGTCTGACAGTTTTCCAAAAAGGATCCTACTACTCTGGTATCAGAGCTTATAATCATCTTCCACCTCATAAAAAGTCTGAGTAATGAAATGAAACTATTCAAACGGATGCTAAAAAGGTTTCTTCTTTCCAATTTGTTTTATTCCTTGGATGAATATTTTAACTGTAACGTAAACTAAACACCTGGGTTATACTCCCTATTAAGTAAACTTTTTTATGATACTTATAATCTGTTCATATATATTCATCACATCTTAGTACTATCAGTACATTAATTTTACAATTTTAAACATATAGCAGTCATACGATGTACATAAGTTGTTCCATCTGTGTCCCGGGTATTAAGTGTGCAGGCATCTATGACCTGTTTCTTATCTGGGTATTGTTTGTAAGTAAACTGATGTAACGTCCTAATAAATAATCTGCTCTTAGATATTAGACCAATGTTTGAGATACTGTATTGTGGAGATGAATTATTGTGTTTATATTCGTATCTTCTTAATGTGATGCGACTTGTCTGGTTTTGTTTGCGAGTAATTCCACATCTACTGGTCATTATTGTACCACAAAGGATCAACGGAATGTTTAAATAAATTAAACTGAATTGAACGTGTAGGTTACACTTGTCAGTAACTTGTTTGTGATACAGAATAAAAAAGGATGGAAGCTACACAGTTAAAATGCATGAAATTTTTATCCTTGCTTGAGTAAAATTTAAATGCTAAGATATATTGCTCCTGTATCAACACAGAGGCAGAGATCCAAACAACCCTGCTTTAATGGACTAATTCAAGTGAAGTAGGCTAATGTGCAAGTTAGACCATTAGATCCTTAACAACACAGAGGTAATGAAGTTACAATACAGGAATCACATAACCAAAATAAAAATATGCATAAGTAAGAACCTGCAATAAGTTTTGATATCAAGGTGACAGCAAGACTGATAAACTTGGAAAACTGAGAGACCCATGTTCTAGCATTCACCTGGGCAAGCTCTTGGGTGAGAGAGTATACAACATGGGCAATACGCAAAACAACAAAATGTCATATCTTACCTGCTGTGACAGCCGTACCTGATGACCATATTTTAAGAAGTATGCCCCTTCGATGGTACCTGTGGTCCCAAAGCTCCAACATGAGCCGCATACAGACTGATCTGAATAAAAATAATGCAATACTTGCCAAGTACATATCAAATGTGGAAATCAATCTTAGAGCATTTTGATATTAATAATGGCTATATAAATAATTTACATATAAAAATCTGGAGATAACATTTGGTTGAAACATTTGTTTCACTAATTAATAAGAGTAGAAGTGACAGGGTCTGGAGGAAACTGCATAATGATAAGCTTCATAATTTGTACTCTTCATCTAATACAGTATGCGCCAAAATATCCAGTACTGAAATGAAAAGACGTCCTGTTGATACCACTGTCTATTCATGTGAAGGCCCCTTGCAGGACAGAACCTTCTCAAATCCTGAAGAAATCATCTGATCACCATGTCCCTGTAGCATTCTTGGGCGACGGTAAGAGCATTGCCTTCCTCATCCTCAAGGAAATATGGGCCTAATATACCATGTGCTGAGATGGCACACCATATCATCACACTTGTACTATGGAGCGGTTTCTGGACGATAACATCTGGCTGCTCAAAACCGAGGAAGCGAGTTGTCTGGCGACCACTTCTGTATGAGTGGAAATAATACTAAACTATGAATACTTTTTCCTCCATCAAGACACCAATTTCCAACAACTGGACAATACAATTTCCTTTACACTACTGGGAACACATGCAGCTGGAGCTATGCCCCGTCGACAAATGCACATGCGTTCGAGATGCGCCAGTTTCAGTACTGTATATTTAGGCGCATACTGTATTATTAGTATCACCAGACAAAGGTGAACAAGATGGGCAGAGGATGCAGGAAGCATCATTGAGAGATGAGAAATGTGAACATCTAATCACAAAACCTGAAGAAAGATTTAATTGCAGATAGTAGAATGTTATAAGATGGGCCTTAAAGATGCAGGGCCCATGGATGTGAACTAGGTTCATGTGGCTAAGGGCTGGGACAAATTGTAGGCTGTTGTAAACATGGTAATGAACCTGCAGGTCCATAAAGTTGTGGAACTTCTTGAGCAGATTACTGACTATTTAACTTCTAAAAAGGACTCCTTGCTATTGAGTTACTTAATTGGCTGGTTGGTTGGCCAGTCAATTAGTAGAAAGGCACAATAGAATGCTGTCTTGTAGGACAATGGAATGAACTGCTGGTAGGCTAATTTACATGTTGTTAAATACTTCACTGTCATCCTTCTTCTCTACACCACTGCAAATTAGAAAGCAAAACGGTTTTTTTATTATCAAATCTCTCTTAAGCCTATAAGTAGCAGAATAATTTCCTGGAAGAATAGATGGTCGTAAGTAACATAGTCACATGCCTTTATAAAGCTAGGAAAATATCTTTCACATAACTGTACATACACAAAGATGTTCAGTAGAAACATGGAAATCTACTTCTGAAATCAAATGTAGTCCACTGTTTGTTACAAAAATCCATAAATGTATTTATTTATATAGATTATCTCGATTTACGGAATGTAAATAAATTGAACAATTGAACCTAACTTCATAACATTAACCATGACTAAATATTTTTTGAACTATGTAGTAGAAATAAAATAAATATATTACATACAAATGTAAAACCTGACATTTGTGACATTTGTATTTCCTCATATACAGAATATATACAAAAATAAACTGTGACTATGAAAAACATCAATTTTGAGATTTTCATGGATTTAAACATCTTCAGCCACCCGGATTATTAAAAGGCTGTTTTTGGTGTGCTGCCTGTCTAAATGTATGGATGCGCACCTCACTAGTGCCTCAGCAGTTAGAGGACTGTATTCGCATTTGGTTATTTATGAGTCCATCCATCATACATCAGTGACCAGTGCATTTGAACATTCTACTTTCAGAAACAGGGCCCTTCAGATGGGCCTCAAAATACAAAATAGTAATTTTCTTGAAAACATCTGTACTAATTCTGACTACATTTCAGTAATCTATGGTCACCATGTCCCTAAACAAAAATGTATATGTGGTGTTTTCAGGAAATAATAGTATGTGAACTAGAGGTTCCAAACACAAAATGTTAATTTTCTTGAAACTGCTTTCACTGTAGTTCCTTATTCAGCAGCCAACACTGGGCTACCAACCAAAAACTGATTTCAGTTTAAACATGGTACAGCGAAAGCCAATCATATAGGAAAAAGTACGTTCAGTGTCCTTGCACCACCAATATTTTTATCATATGCTGCTTGGTGCATCACAACTAACAAGCTATCAACACGTACCAGTCTAACAGCAAGAAACTATAGTACTAAATTATGCATCTTGATCTACCTACTCTGCCAGCTCAAATCTGTTCTCAAGACTCTTTTAATGATCTCTGTATAAATACCTTTAACTGGGGTTACAGCTCCATACAATCTCCAGTCCAGGTCTGAAGGAAGATCCTTAGTCAGGCTACCAAGGTTGCTATATGGAAAAGGGGCACCTCCATTGTAACCTCTGGAGTATTGTTTTCCCCTCAAGGCCTTCAATTCCAACTCTGTGTTATCAGCCAAGTGGTTAACGCCTAACTGGAAACTAAGACCAGCTCGGTTCTTCGAGTGGATGAACCTTACAAAAAAAATAATGCTACAATGCAATCAGAATACATTATGTTTCTCATCACATTATATGTCAAGAGTCTTCTGCATCTCAGAACTTTTAACCATTAACACTTACATTTACTAAATGAATTACTTCACAAGACAATAACATTTCCATTTAATAAATGTTGTTGATTTAATGGTTTTGATGTTGCTGAATCGCAGTTTTAATACCTAATTACTCATTATACAGTTTTATACTAAAAATGCAACACTTTGGAAGCTGGTTCATCTTCAGTCTATAGGCAAAAGGGGACCTAATCTGACCAAACCACTAACATTAACCATTTCCAATTGCTCCACTAAATTAGGCCCACCATTCTGAAAGAATACTGAAGCAAACTCAACTTCAGACAAGTTGTGTTTTTAGAATAAAACAGAGGCAATGGATAACGTCTCAATATTAAAACTAACAATGACAGTTGCTATAAATTAATTACCTACTACTTACCAACCAACTGAACTACCAAAACTACAATTACTTACTTATATACTACCTACCCACCTACCTCCTTAGAACGGAGTCCTTCTTCAGAAGCTGACAGTTGCTAAATTATTCAAGAAATACCAAGTACTTCATGGCACCTCAAAGACCATTACCATGAGCCTGCCACTCATCCCTATCATGGGCCATAAGAGTCCAGTCAACACATTCTCATCAATCATATTTATGATCCATTTTAATATTGTCGAATGTTCATGACTACATACTGGATTCAGTACTTCTTTTGGTTTATTTTGGACTTCACCCATCGTCCGGTATATAAAAGACAAAAAACCACGACGTTTTGGAGACTGGATCTGTCTCCGTCTTCAGGTGGATAGGGAAGGTTTAACCTACTCAGTTGGGCCCCTTAGAAAGAGCTAGTCTCAATCACTGGAATTGGAATTCGTTTAGGAAATTGGAATACCTAAAAATCAGTTTGGCCAAAACCCTGAACCATATAACCTTTCTTATGAGGTGCAAATCCCTAGGCATTATTCCCAAGGGCCTCTCAGTTAAGATGCCATATAGTGGTCGGCGTTCTTTCAAGATTGCCCAACGGGCCAGTATGGCTCTCCTTAGAGATAGGATTCATGCTCATTGGAAGAATAAGTCTTCACAACTTCAGAAGATCCANGATGGGTGAAGTCCAAAATAAGCCAAAAGAAGTACAGTATACACCATCATCAGAATCCTTTCAAGTCTATACTGGATTCAGATTGATAACTTAATTTATTGGCCACTTATAGCTTTTAAATCCAAATAATTGAAAAACTTTTGTTATTCTTCTCAATCTTCAAACAACTACAGCACTTTCCAAGTCTTTCCAGTCTACTATGTCTTCATGTACTTTCCAAAGGAGCATCCTCTCTTAAAGTTTTAAGTACATGGAGTTTACTACCGGCTTCATTTGAACATATTTTAATTAGCTGAACTAAGTTCATGGGCACAGCAAACCAATGAGTCAAAGATAATGTCATGTAAATAAGATCTGAAAGTTTGTGACAATGGTATATTAATATGACTACTGGGTGGCTGCACGTTATCCATCGTATTATTTTTTTCATTTAAAGCACAATGTTTCGTAGACTAGATTCGGTCTCTGTCCTCAGGTAAAAGCCTAGTCAGCTGGGCTCAATCAACAGAGCTGGTCCCTGGTTCCATCTCTAATTCAACATAAACGGTTGCAACAGTAAAATAAAATGTGGTTTTAATGACATTTTAGAAAATTAAATGTGACTGTGATGACATTTTAAAATAAAAGTAATTGCTGCTTTAGAGACAGAAACAAGTGGACAAGTGATAATATGGAGTACTGAGTGTGGAGTACGAGCATGAGTGAGTGAGTTACTGACCTGCAAAACAATTTTTAAAAAAGAAAGCAGTCTTCTGGGATTTGGCACCGTGTATATGTGGTGTTAACCGACGTTTCGGAGGAACGTATCGCCCCCATCTTCAGGGTTGAAGAAAAAGTATAAGTAAATCTGCAAGCGACAACACCGTGAGACACGGTNAATTTTAAAACTAAGTAAATTTCAGTCAATATGTACAGCCGTGCACATAATAATGAAGGTAAACAAGGAGATATATAAAGTTTCACTGGTTCTTACATTCCTCATAACTCATCTTCCACAAACAGAAGTTACTGAAGGAGAATCTTTATTAAATCATATATATCATTTTAAAACACACCCAACATAAAATTACGCATAGATATGTACCTCAGATTCTGACGGAAAGCTTCCTTTCTTTTAGCATGTTCCATTTCATCAGCATAATCTTTGTTGTGTCTGTGTCGAAAGTGATCAAACGCAGTTTCCATGTGATCATCATAGTTCTGTATAAATTCTTTCATTGGGTTAAAAGTGTAGATGTGTCTGTCTCCTGGACCGGGAAAGCTAGTGCAGGTCATATCTAAAAAAAATCAACAGTGAAGAATACTTAAATTTCTAGAGCTACTGTAAACTTCCATTTGTCAGTACATTCAATTCTTGATTATCTGGGATAATGGTGGGGATGGAAATCATGATTAATCGAAAACCCAGTTAAGACAAATTTTATTAAAAGTAGTACTGTGTGGCCGTTTCGTCACCTAAAGCAATAATTGAATTGGATTTGTAAAGCGTGACACATAAGTCTAAGTTGCATTCGGAAGGCTGTGTTCGACCGCGTGAACTGAGATGTTTGCAAATTCCGGGGGTGACAGAGACAGAAGACGTCTCGTGATTATGAGTGCTGAGAATTAAGCCTATGGTGGCGTTCGCGCCTTCTTTTTAATATAAGCCTCAAATAAAGCCCCGGTAGCCCCGGTTAAGCCAGAAACCAGTTGATCGGCCCCCGGATAATCGACAGTTGAGTGTATTTCTATGATTATTATGTATGTGACACATCACAACCATATAGTGAAAACTTACTCTCAGCAACTGTGAACACATCTGGACTCGGTGTGTCAGAAGAGTACCAATCATATTCCAAGTAGTAGTGATCATAATGTGAACCTAATAGAGAATTGTATCCCTTCATCTCATACCGAACAGGAATTGATACTTTTGCACCTTGGACCCTGGGAGACTTCTGAAAAGAAAGTCAATGAATGTAATTATTACAAAGCTCATTCAGTACAGAGTTTGATGAGGAACTGGTGTTTGATTCCCAGATGAGGCAAGACATTTACTCTTTTTCAAAGGGTCTAGAATGTCTCTGGAGCCCATATGGGCTGTTATTTAATGGATACTGGTTTTCTCTTCCTGAGAATAAAGTGGCAAAGCTTTGAGCTGACACCTACACCAAGTGCCAAGATTATGAATGTGCCAAGCTATACATCCAGTCTCATAAGTCCTCATGGCATGGTATTTAATTAGTCACAGAGACAACTTAATAAAATGGTGTAATCACACATCAGGAACTGAAAAAGACAGAGTACTAACTTTAAGGAAAATGTTAAAAGAAAATATACAAAAGCCAGTCAGACTTCTAAAGGGCTCTGATGTTGTATAACACTCAGAATTCCTGGGTTTTTGGACTTTCTCCATTGTTAGGTATTTTAAAAAACTACAAAACACAACATTTTGGAAAACTGGATGTTTCCATCCTCAGGTGAGGTGGGAGATACCTACTCTGTTGGTTCTCTTAGAAAGAGCTAACCTCAACCACTGGACCAGTAATTAAAATAAAACTTGTTTATACCATGACAAAATTGTTAGTATTTATGTGAAATACAACGGTAAACACATTCTTCCTGTTGTGTTGTGCTGTGTGTCTTTTTTTATGAATGCATTTGCAAAAAAAAAAATACATAGCAAAACACAACAGGAAGAACAACCCATCACTTGGAATACAAATGAGCATAGAGGGGACCATATATTAAAAGATTAATAACAGAAGTGACAATAACAGAAACACATCAGTTTCTCAACTATAAGTTTACACATGATGATGACCATATTGGTCAAAACATGTAGTGAAAAAGTTTTAAAAAGTTAAAAGTTATACGATGTGCAAAACTTTTAAAAACTTTTAATAAGTTTTACAGAAAAATGTGTTACATGTGAACTGGTGGAACCAGCAACATCTGAGATCTGAGGCTTTCACAGCGTTGGCAATGAAGATTATGGTTTTCTGGAATATGAGACCATAAGCCTGGTAAATCAAGAAGACAGAGTAATATTATTTCAGTTTAATTTACTTTAGTTGAACAGTATTAGTCCCTCAAGAATTATTATTGCATATTAAATTTTCTCACAATATGTGATTTAATATAACACAAAGCAAGCAGATTAAATGTTATGTGTTTATAATTTTTTAGTCTCTCAAACAGTTACTGCCCCTCACCCCATGCAACAGTAATAAGACTATAGTTAGGAGAACTACATTATAATTTGAGCAACAGACTTTCACAGAGAATTATTTCACTGTTTTTGCTGTCACCAACAAGAACAAAACAAAACAAAAACAATTATTTTGCAGGGCTAGGTAATTAAGGCATGTTCTACAAATATGGAGATGGTCTTTCTCTCTCCACTGCCAGTTTTGTTGTCCAGAGTCCTCAACTGGTAACAGTATTCCTTACTTATTTCCTGTCCTGAGGCTGAAAGATGACAACCCCACCACTGTATTTGCCAAGCAAAAGAGGTCACCTATTCAGGGGCCTAACAAAAATTCTCAACTTGCTACAATAGGCCAGAAGTAGCCCCAGTACAAGGGACTTAGTCCCACCCGACTAGCAATAAAAAAAAACATTCTCAACAACCTCAAGAGATTCTGGGCAGAGAGAAGAAATTATGTGTAACAGCAATTATTACTGCAATGAGGTATTTCCCAAAATACATAAGGAAACTGCCTGCTTAAAGTGAGGATTAAATAAATTAGGCATGTTCATGCAAATGAAACAGTTCAGACAATAATTACCTGTTGAAACAGACACGAACTCAATAAACAGCGAGTCAGTACAAATCAAACCATTGGACAACTTCAAAGATGAAATTCATACACTTGCCTTGTAACGAATCCACATGGTATACTTGTTGACCTTGGTCCCCTTTGTATCCACTAAGCGCCACTTCTCACATATTAAGCCATTTACCAGTTCTTCACCAAGAAACTTCAACAAGAATAAACAGAAGTGTAAATACAGGTAATAAAAACATATTTTCACAACAGCAACTGCATTATGGCAGTATACAAAATCAGTTTTTGCAGCTCACTTAACCTTTATTATATAAGAACATGGGATTTAAAACTCCCACAATACGGTGCTGGTGGTCTTATTTTAATAGAGGTGTGTGCTAATTAGAAGCAGTATTAGTATATAAGAAATATTTATATTATTGGTCCTAAGCATTCTAAAATATTCTAGTAAAGAATTCTTTAGTATTATTATTTACTATTACAAAGATTGTTTCCAAAAAGTTACAAATGCATGAAACAGAACAAAATACTGGGTAATTAAATTCACTTTGGGAAACATATTCATTCCCATGTTATGATGGAACCTCAAAGTTCATTACCACAGGCCTGCCACTCATCCCTTGACTGAGACACTGGAAGCATAATTCTGTAGCTCACTAATGATCAGTGTCTTTGGATTCCAGGTGGGTCCCTTAACTGGCTCATAGGTTCACCTTTCTTTTTGGGGTCGACTGACGACGTGGACATCTTGAACTACTTCACACAAATTACAAATTGGAGTCAGATGACATTGTCAGTCATCTTCTTTGCTATCACAAGACAATATTTAAGTATTATAATTTATTTAGTGATAATTCCAGTGCCTCAGACTAGAGCACTGAATAATATGATTACGGAATAAAGAACTGGAAAGGATGCAGAATGACCATGGCTTAATTTAGACATTATTCCAGAATCTGTCTGCAAGGACTGAGTGGATTATGTCAAATTGAGTTTCCAAAACTTTCCACCTGAAGTGCTACACTCACAGCTGTAAAGATGGCATCTCAAGCAGAAATAGCTAAGCTTGTGCTGTGGTTTCACATGTCTAAATATGTGGGTATGGTGTAAAAGAGATCTGCTATGGTGTCTGATAGAGAATGAAAAACAAAAATGAGCAGTATAAATTGTTTCATCAGACTGGCTGCATTTATAAATGAAAGAGCCAAAAAGTCGATATGTCACTCAAACTCAGAGGCTGAAGTCTGAGTGGCTTTAGCCCACAGTTTACACAAATCAACCAGGCATGCTGCCCAACAATTAAACATGACACAAACACAATAGTGCACAAAATTCTGTAAAAAACACTTGAAATTTAAAAGTTGTAGGTGACAACTGTTGCAACATGTAAGAGCTCAATACAAGGCAATCTGCCACTCGTTTTTCTGCGGCTTTCCTTCGAGACTTGAAGATGACATACATTTAGAGCCAGCAATGTCTTCATTGATGAATCCACATTTCATTTATTAGGAAATTTTAATCCATATAAGTTGAGAATTTGCAGCAGCAACAAGCCTTATGAAGTAATTTTTACCAAACAATCATGAATGAATCCAAATGGTGAACAAAACGTGACAGGAAATTAAATTTTTTCATATCTGTCATCAAGAATGTTGGTAGAGTCAATCATCTAGACTAAGAATGGTAACCAGAGATGAGATTTTGGGTCCTCTCACATGACAGTAATAAAATGTCCAAGAGGAAAGACCAGCTTTTCCAAAAATGAACAGAGCATGAATGTCAAAATCACTCGTCAAATTATGCACATCAACTTTCTTACTATAAAAGGATTACTATTACAAATGTATATCTCCGAACAATTAACCAAGCTTTCTGGAACATTTACAACAACAGAGTCACTGAAAGAGAACAAATCTTTGGCTGGACAAATGAATTTTGGAGCATGACCATGTGACCCTCCACACAACACTTCCAACAAAGCGAGTTTTGGAACATCAACGGTAATTGCCTGATTTTAGCCTTTGTGGTTTTCACATTCCCAGAACTGATTACCTTCTTGAAAGGCTCCTATTTCAAATAACATGAAGATATTCAAAGCAATCTGATGACAGTACTGAAACAACTTTCAATAAATAATTTCCAGCCATGTGTGACTTGAAGTTCTCTTATCAGTGGTTAGGAAGGGTTCTATCTTCTGAGATACAAAGCTGCACAGTCCTTAAGAAATCAGCCAATGCTGCTACCTGCTTTGTGCAGGTTTCTTGCTTGGCTTACGCTTTGACCCTGAAGATGGAAGAAATATATTCCTGCAAAAAGTCAGTCGATTCTCAACAGACTACTCAGCATTAGATCCCAAACACATAACTCCCAACTTCCATTCATGTTCTAGGTATGACAAGAGACATCAGAATGCATGTATTAACTCAGAAGGTAAGTGCTTTGAAGGTGACCACACTAATTAAAGTTTAGTAACTTTTTTTTTTTTCAGAAGTCCAGTCATGTAATGGTTAAGCCTCATATAAGATTTGATAGACATTTTGATCCAATAGGCATTACTCAAATTAATATTAACATTTATCCATGGTGAAAATAATTTGATAGTACATTTTTTTAAATATGGAAAAACCTCCATCTCACTTGTACATATTTGAGTATAAATGACAAAGTTGCTAATAAACAAATAAAAGCTTAATTATCACCCACGCTGTGTCATACCTTGAAACCCGTTAGATCTGGCAGAATACTCTGTGGTTCTATTCTGTTCCCACTACTTCCATTGACTTGTAGACAAGAATTCAAATTCTGCACTTTTTCTGTTGTCACTGGTGCTACCTTCAAACTGGAACCATACTCGCCCAACTTGCTTAGTTGATATGTTTTCACCATTCCTTATAACATCAATAAAAATATGTATTTGTTATATTGTACTTCAGATGCCTAACAGCACCGCAGTACATTTCCCAACAAGTCAGATTCTTTTACATCTCTCATAGGAATGACTTCATTTCCAAGACCCTGTTCCGTGGAAACTAACTATAAATGATTTCAAAATCCTTATCTTTACTGATTTAATATAATTATTTAGTGATTTTAGGCAGTTACTGTGATCACTGATACTTTTGCAGAGCACACCAATTTTTCTTGCTACAGTGATTCAACTTTCAAATGTGGTGTTGGAGAAGGATGGAGATCAGTTGGACCGATTATGTGAGAAATGCAGAAGTGTTATTTAGAGTCAGTGAGCAGAGGAATATCCTACACGAAATAAGAAAACGGAAGACTAATTGGATTGGTCATATCTTATGCGGTAACCGCCTTCTAAAAGAAGTTATTGAAGGAAAGATAGAGGGGCGGATAGAGGTGACCAGAAGACGAGGAAGAAGACGTAAGAAGATGCTGGATGACCTTGGGGACAGAAGAGGATATTTTCATTTGAAGGAGAAAGCTCTAGATCGCATCAAGTGGAGGAATTGTTTTGGAAGAGACTGTGGACCTGTTGTCTTGACAGATTACAGATGAATGAAGTGATTCAAAACACTCTGGAACTTACAGAGTTACCAGATAGCAACAGCAGCTACTGGAGTCTAGCCAACAAAACATAAAGAGTGAATCTTCCATTACTGTTACCAGTTCCAGTGATTCAAATCACTCTGTAACCCATCCATCACCTACTTATCACTAGCAGCTACCTACTGCTCTTACTAGACTGAAAAATGTACACAGCAACTTCATAAACTGTTACCATTTTCAGTGACCAGAACTATTTTGTTGCCCATCCTTAGCCAGTGGCTATGCAGTTACTGGCAATAGTTTCCTACTATAGCCACTAGCCAGCAGAATGTATACTATGATTACATTGATTCAAGTCACTTACCACTTACCCATCAACCATTTACTGCTCATTGCTACTTATTCCATCTGTTAACCAGTGAAATGTAAACAATGACTTCAGCAACCACTAGCAGTTCCAATGATTCAAATCAATTGCACACACATCCATCATCCAGTTACCATTCATAGCTATCTATTGTTGCTACTAGCCAGAGACATGTAAATGGTGATGTCTGACACCATTGTTTCAGATAATCAGAAACTGGCAAGTAATCACTGCTACTGATATGTCACTCACTTCTTATAATTACCTTATAACCAGTCCAACTTCTCTTCTTACATTATTTAAAAACGATTTCAGTATCAAGACCATGGACCGCCTCTGTGGTTTAGTGGTCAGCGTTCCTGCCTACAGATCCAGAGGTCTGGATTCGATTCCTGGAGCTACCAGATTTTTTCTGAGAAGTAGTGGGTCTGAAACGGGGTGCACTCAGCCTCATGATGATAACTGAGGAGCTATTTCATGGAAATAGTGGCTCCAGTTTAGAAAACCGAAATTAACGGCCAAGGGGATTCATTGCACTGACCACGCGACACACTCTATCCGCAAAAGCTGGCACTAAACTTCCCCAACAAGCAGCGGTTGCTCGGTCGGTATAGTTCACTTGTGGACTAAAACCACAGAGTTTTTTTTTTCAGTATCAAGACCATATAGCATCAAATGATGGATACATGAATGATGATGGTGAACTGTAAAGGTTTTGTAAGAAAGCATTCATATAATAACACGAGGGAGTAAGGAAAACCATGAGAAACCTCAGTCAAAATAACTGGTGTCCTGGTCAAGGTTCAAATCAAACACCTCCCAAATGTAAGTCTATAACATTTCTATACCAGCCTCTTCAGTATACACGAAACCAAGTAGTGAAGATAATGAAATCACGGAACAAAGGCACATTAAGAAAATGTCTGTAATAAAGTGAAGGAAGATGATGAAATAATTCCACAGAGTCCTTTTAGAAAGCTAGGCCAGTAAAAAAATTCCACACTTTTCATGAAACCTCAGTGTTCATTACAACATTCCGCACAGCCCAATCTTGAGCCAGAGTAATCCAGTCCACAATACAAGGTGCTATTGGAAAATTCCTGGACTGTTATTGTTGTAATTGCCTCGGTGCTAGCAGATGAGAGGGGAGACCAAGGTCACACTTCCATAAGCCTATTGCATCAGTCTGCCATGTGACACTGCACTGTTTTTACACGAGTGCTTTTTCAACTTCGTGTTTTATTTTCTCTGCAATGGATGGCAAAATCGAGCAAAGTGTCTGCACCAAGTTTTGCATGAAGCTCAGTAAATCAGCTATCAAAACCCTTGAAATGCTTAGTGAGGCTTCTGGAGAACATTCTTTAAGTCAGACAGTGGTATCTGAATGGCATTCACGTTTCAAGGCTGGTTGAGTGTCAGTTGAAGATGATGAATGTTCAGTGACCAAGCATGAGCAAAATGACAGAAAATGTTGAAAAAATTTGAGAACTCATTAATGAAGACCATTGCCAAACAATCCATGAGCTTGCAGACACCACTGGGATCAGTTATGGAGTTTCCCAAGAGATCTTAACAGAAAATTTGAGCATGTGCAGAATTGCCGTGAAGTTTGTTCCCCTTTCTCTTGACAAATGATCAAAAGCAGTGGCGTGTAAACGTGTGTCTTGAGCTACAAGAGAAGGCTAATGAGGACACAACTGTTATCTCTAGGACCATAACGGGTGATGAAAACTGGATTTACAGTTATGATCCAGAAAGAAAGCAACAGGCGTCACAGTGTAAGAGCCCACAATCACCAAGAGCAAAAAAGGAGCGGAGGATCTGGAGTTCAACAAAGAGCATGTTCATTGTTTCTTTTGACATGAAGGGGATTGTTCACGGTGAATTTGTTACTCCTAACACTAGGGTCAACTCTGAATTTCACTGTGATGTTTTGAGATGCTTGAGAGGAAGTTTGGAGCAAACACAACTGGCTCCTTCATCACGACATCACACCCAACCACACGTCCCCGAAAACCGCAACATGGTTATCATTCCCCATCCTCCCTACTCGCTGGACTTAGCCCCCTGTAATTTCGCTTTGCTCTCCCAATGAAAATGTTGACATTGTCCTGAGACATCATGCAGTGTGGAGGCCCATTTCATTGCAGACCACTCAGTTCGCAAATCACTGATCTGTAAATTGGTGCTACTTGGTACAAGAACACCTCACTAAACTTTTGTTAAACATGGGTGTAAACACGTAGTAAAGAATAACAGTGGCACGCACACAGGAAGACTACACAGGATAACACCTATACAGTGTGGAAACAAGAACTAGCCGCTGCAGCACTTTAGACATAGGTCGAGTAACCCTAACAATTTAAAATTTAAAATTTAAAGGAAAAAATTTTTTTAAAGGATTTTAAAATTAGAACTAAAGATTTTATAGTGCTACTACAGGTACATCAAAATTAACGTGTGTAAAATAATCTACATCCAGACAGATATCAACGAAGTAGATGTTGATAATAACAAGAAAAGTGTTTTAAATGTTAAATTTTGGGCTGAGTGCAGTGTGACAGCGACGTGAGTGTTATACACCTGATGATGGCCGTCTGAGGCCGAAACATGTAGTGTAGGTGAACAAGATCAAGGACACATAATATATTGTTTGCACTTGGGACGGAATTTGTATCATTATATCATTTATCGTATGGAGTGCAACAGGATGCTTAAATATAATATGGGTGTATAATTTAAACTCTGCCAACTACAAAATGCAATCCACTTTTGGCACACAAAGTACATCTCTTCAGCTGAAGCAAGAAGGAACAGTGCTGCTCCACACATGCATGCATACAGAAGATCACTTGACCAAGCAGGAAGAAAATTTGATTTACCATTACATGTGAAAATGTTTGCATCTTAATGCTTGCTTCCATTTAGCATATACAATATTTTATTTTATTGACATTTAGGGCTGGACCACCTGTATATAAAAATAAGAATAATGAAAAAATATACATATATTAATTCTTGATTAATAACCTGTGAATGAACCTCACCTCCATAGTAATCAATTCGGCTAGAACCAAGCTTCAGATCATACCAGGAATAGAAAGGTTCACGGATCTCAGCATATGGGATGTACAGTGTTCCTTTAACAGTATAAGTATCACTGAACTCCGGTGGTGTTGGAACACAGTGAGACATTGCTGCAAGTAAAGCTGGAAAAAGAATATATTTGTTCTACTTGACAATATTTCATGCTTTCCTTCTACCATTATAACGTAAATGAAGATGTTCTTAGGATTGTAACAGTGATGTATTACACCACAATTACTTTGAATACTGTCCACTGTTTGCTATATATTTAATAATGAATTGGTTAGAATGAAAATAAAATGACTGATTATTGTTGTTGTTGTTATTAAATAACTCCACAAATCCTGTACAGGGGCTTTAGCACCCATAGGATATAGAGCTAGTCAAACTTATACAATTATTTAAGGTATTTCACACAAATAAATAAGGAATAAAAATGAATCCATACTTCTATGTTGAAAGATACAATTCAAAGATATAAAATTATGTCACATGAGATTCGAGGTTCCCATGGCTGTGTCAAGACTACGGTTTTCTGTCATGTGACACTATGTAAAATCACAGAAGAGTAGGAACACTTTCCCACCTCCACCTTCAGGGTAGAAGCCTATTCTATCATGAATATGGAGGAAAACAATTGTACCCATTCACTAGGCAAAATGCCATCATATCCCAGAAGACCATAACTTTGAATTATGTCACAGTTATTTCTGTCATTTACTCATGACGTCTGCAAGCTATAATATACAAATGGAAATTATTTTTATATAATTTATTCTTACAAGATTACAGATGTGATAATGTATTTTAAGTTCAAATTACTTGGAAACATAACTACAAACTATATGAAAGCTAAAGACCATCATTCACTTTTACTCAACACAACGCATTTTGGTTATAAAAGCTCATGGAAAGAGACTACCTAGGAAATTTTATGGAACAGTTGGTAAGGCCAATTCATTGGTAAAATCATACCTTAAAATACACCCAATGCGTTATACACCCAATACGTGACAATATTAACCAGAGTTGTAATTAATAATTTGCATATTCATTCCAGATGGGGCAAAGTTAATAATGGTGTTCCCAGGGATCCATTCTGGGACCTTTATTGTTTCTTTTATATGGTGACAGTAGTGATCCTTATGTTCCATACTGGAGGACATTTCTTCAAATTCTTGAATATCTATTGAAAATCAGTTAATATGAAAACATTGCTGCGGTACTAATCAATAATACATAATGGTGACTGGATCATTTGCCATCACATCACACTATGGGTGTTAACTTTCCTTCACTTCACACCGTTCTGTTATGAATCTATGAAGAAAATTAAACTGGCACAACCCAGGCAACATTTCATTATCATGAACATCCCTCCTTGAAATGCTAGAAGTTTATGTGTCACCAGACACTTCTGAAGTGGTGTATATTCTACACAGCTCTGTCAAGAACTATATGAAAAATGTAAATATTATCAAATTTGGGGGTAAGCACATATTTCTTCCTCAAGGATAGCAACTTCTGAAAAAATGGCATGGCATTTTTAGCAAATGCTGCTCCCTGAGACTGGCACTAAATGAGTTTAATGCAAATGAACAATGTCACTCAAATTAGGAGTATGTTACCTTATGCACAAAAGTTTATGTCAAATTATGTGAGATTATCTTTAATAATCTTTATAAAGAGTTCTATCTTCTGAGATATCCCATGAAGTCTCATGTAGATTATCTTTGCCTTTGGCTTTATATTTTAAGGTCTGTACTCAAAGTTGGTTGAGGGGCTGTGCTACAAGCCGGAAGGTCGCGGGTTCAAGTCCCGATGAGGTAATTGGATTTTTTTCAGTTGACCTAATCCTTCCAACCGCGCTAGGCCCTGGGGTTTACTCAGCCTCTAACAGAAATGATTACCAGGAATTAATTAAATAATTTTCCTGGGGAGTTAAACGCCGCCGGTGCGTAAGGCTGACAACCTTACCGCAATCTTTGAGCCGATTGTCTAGAAAATGTGGGACCCTCAACGTCTCACAACCTATGGGACTTCACGGCCTTTTACACGGATAGCTTTACTTTTTACTCAAGTCAGATACAGTGAATGTTCCTGATGGGCAAGGGGCTAACTGTACCTCACAGCCATTTGAGATATACTGGTTATGTCAAATATAAAACACACGTCGGGTACTAAATTCCGACTGTCCAGTCAACTGAAATTTTTATTGAGTTACAACAGCTTTGTTGGGATGGGTGACGCCTATATTTAAATTGTGAAGACCTTTTGGTTCGCATATACCGTGCACTTGATTCGAGCTGATTCTTCATATGGCCTTCCCCGTTCATTCGCTTAAAAAATGGCTGTTAATTTTGGTTTGTCATATTGTCAATAGTTCGACCTATAATAATAATACAATGCTAACATAGGTGTCGCACTAATAACTCGAAGGAATAAGTACTACACATCGAAAGATTTTTTTTTTTTTGTGAAGTACTTACCTAGCATTAAAACGACGGGCAAGAACAGAACAAAATTGCATTTTCTAGCCATATTAACCAATGATGGAATAATGTCAAAACAACTAGCCGGCTCCTGTGTTACTGCTCTTCTTTCTGAGCTAATCTCTATATGAAAGTGCTTTCAGTAGATAAACAAACAATTCTATCTCTTCCTCATATCATGTCATGTAATGCTTGTTGAATCTCTGTTTACGTTTACACAACGAACTGGAATGTCATGTGACAAACTGCCATCCTGCCAACATCGTATTTAAGTGCTTGCCCTCGCAAAATTTATACATAGCCTAGCCTCGGAGGCCTGAGCCAAATAAATACGGATTACCAACATTGCATACCATATTTATATGCAACAATTCCCTCAATGCACGAGGTGAAAAAGGTAAAGTTGTTCCCGTCCGTAATTAATTACTTGGAAGACGTAGGGAGCAATGGAGGTATAACTCCACTATTCTTGACCTAGTACTAGATGGAAGGGAATGATAAACTTCACGCTCCCGCCGCTTTACCCCCAGTACCCAAATGACTGGTGCCTGGCTGAGCCCCAGAGCCAGTCTGGATCGTCTGGATGTTGTGGAGTAGAAATAAAAATCTCTGGCTTCCGCCGGGAATCGCACAGTGGCCGTCTAGCGCGAAACATACCAGCTCCTTTCCGTCATTGTAACAACGCGATGAAATAAACGACACTATCAGTGTAGCAGGAGAGCACGAATCAGTACAGGAAGCGAACGATGTTGGTAGCGGTAGCTTAGTCGATAAGGTCGATAAAGACGACAATGCGGTCCGTGCCGTCCGTGCTATTTGAGACGGATGGCGACGTTTGTAGCAGTAGGTCAAGTGACAGGGATAACGAGATCCGCTTTTATCACCAGGGTTTAGGTTACATTGGGTTAACTCCTGCGTGTTAAAGGTAAAGGTGAAGTTATTCTTGGGCATGAGGGTGTAGCTGCACCATTCTTAACCTCGGCATTGGATGGAGATGAGTGGCCAGCTTCACCCCCCCCCCCNATTGTGTAGGACGCCGAGTGGACCCCAGAGCTAGTCGGGACGTTATGCAGAGGAAGGAATCTCTTACCCTGACGGGGATCAAAGATAAATTTCTCGTCCATCCAGCCTGTAGCTCAGTTGCTTTACTCACTGGGCTATCCCAGCCATCCTGGCTCCAACTTTGTGACATAAATAGCGTTTCCCCAGAAAATGTGATTTGTGTCCTGACCCCAAAAATGAACTTCCATGTCAGTATGTGAGGGGAAAGGTGATTTGGTAGGCATATACTGTACCAGTTTCCGAAAACCGCAGCTTAGAATCATTCCGAGGCGAGGTAAGAGTAAGATCACAGTAAAAGGCAGTCCAGGAAAGTAAGGGTCCATGGGAATGTAATAATAAACGAAAAAAAAAATACAATCAAATGAGATCATGATACACACAGTAGATCAAATATGAAATGCCACACGGCACACATTATCATGACTGTAGTGACTATAGACCGGATATGGGTTTGTAATCCGATTTACTGACCACTTATACACACAACATGTAACTACAAGTAACTATAGCACTATTGCTAAATCACACTCTGCAATTCACTACAGCACGCTCAAATATTCTCAACCTGCTGTGTCTTCACCAGTTTTCTGGTAATGGCTTCAAGCAGTGGACATTCCCCTTTCTCTGGGTTTCAGAACTTTCCCCAGGCCTCAGCCACCAGCTTCTAATAGCAGCAGCTCACAAGGACTGAGCCATGGTAGTCATCTAACTCACTCAAAAACTCACTCACCAACCAACTCACTCTGCTCCACTCCACTAATTGAACTCAAAGTCAAAGTTACTTTGCAACTGGCAGTTCACCACCAATCAGTTTGTCTTGGCATCAGGCCCCTTGAGGCCCACGACCAGAAAGTTTTTCCAACTGATACAGGGATAGCTTTACTTTTTTTACTTTACTTTACTCTTGCAGTAATAGTCCTTATGTAACACTTTCTCTAACGAGAAGATAAGACCTGCCCTGCTTATAACATCTCAGCACCGACTGCACAGAAAATGTCGTTCCTCTGTTGCTCTTTCCAATTGTTACCGTACAAACATGATTTTTGCTTACCTCACGGTTGTTGCCTAGCAAATGAATCTCTAGGCCACAATATATAAGTTACTGTTTTACTCAAACAAACAGTTGTTTCTCTTCAGTACAATGTAGTGAAATGCTTCAATTTGAATTAGTATTTTTTGTTGTTTTCTCAGAATATGGGAATCTACAAAGAGTTCTTTTGCATTGAGCTACTCTGGAAGGACTGCCAGTAAATGTAGGAGGGAGTACTGTTTCTACAAGATCCAGAGGGGTAGTTGGGATAGCTCAGTCATTATAGTGATGGGCTATGGGCTGAAAGGCCAGGGTTCAATTCCTGGTAGGGGCAAGGAATCTTTCTCTACAGTGTCCAGACCAGGTCTGGGACTGACCAAGTCCCCCATCCAATGGGCACTGTGGGTAAGGCTGACCACTTACCTGCATTTAATGCTGAGGTTGGTAATGGTATATCTTTGTGGCATGGTGTTTAATTAATTAATCACATGCACAACTTTACCTTTACAAGATACAGAGCCTAAGAACAGCCAAACAAAAGCAATTTATAGTAGAATATGACCACCCATAAATCAGTTCATTCCCTGCAACACACAACGGTTTCTTGACATGGCAAATACAGGTGTGACACAATAGTGTTTTGATATCATGTACAATTCTACTGTACAGATTATGCCAAATAATTCCCAAACACAACAAGAGAACTAATGAATATGTTAACATTACTGAATTATACAGAGACATAAACAAAACTGTGTATATAAAGGAGCTGGTTTCAAAATATTGTACCCTAGTAAAAAGTAATTTTTAATTATCTAGTTTTCACTCGAAGACAGTAGCACAAAAAAATGAATAAAATACAACTTATGATATGACCTGCTGCAGAACTGAGCATTTAAATCAAAAATTTCTTTCGCTATGAGTGTCAGGAAGTGTAAAATGCATATGATGCAAAAGGTTAATGTAGCTGCATTTTTAAAACTGTGCTGTATATTTGATCTTATTTAGAACTGTTAAATAGTCTGAAAGACAGTAATGTTTATTTGGTCTCTATTTCACTACCAGATCTTAAGTTATAGCTGGTAACACTTGAGAATTGTAATTACTCCATGAATTTTGCTAAAATTTCATACTGAAATCTTTTTTTTTCTTCTGTATGGGGTGGGATGAGACTGATTCCATTTGGCATACAGACCACCATTGGGTACAGATGACACATGAATATGGAGCAGGTGGTGGAATGAGAACTGGCAGGGGAAACCAAAGTACCTGGAAAAAATCTGCCTCTATGCCACTTCGTCCGTCACAAACCCCACATGACCAAAGCTGGGATCAAGCCCAGGCCACTGCACTGGGAAGCTGGTGACTGACTACCTGAGGCATGGCATGGTCTACTGAAATCCTAGATGTATGCAAAATTTCGTTTTGGCAAATACTGGTTCACACTTTTTTTTAATTGCTAGTGGGGTGGGACTAAGTCCCTTGCACTGCGGTCACTTGTGGCCTATTGTACCAGCCCCAGATGATAGGTGAGGGTGATTGTGGGGCAGTTGGTGGAATGAAGATTTCCAGGGGAAACCGAAGTACTCAGAGAAAACCTGCCCCAGCCCCACTTTGTCCACCACTGATGCGTGCCATCAGTTCCGACTCAGCCAGCGAGTTCGGCCTCTACTGGCTCAGTGGTATCTAGATGCTTCCCCCATCTACCAGAGGCGTTAGAGACTATTGTTGGGCGGGAAATGTCCTTTATAATTTGGCTCAGAGGCCTCCTTGAGGCATGAGCTTCTTTTACGTGCCGTAGAGCTACGACACGGGACCCACGGCTTAAAGTCCCTCCCAGAGGATTTGTTCCCTGAATTTTTCCGCCCTTCAAAATTCCACGACCTCCGCCGGGTTTGAACCCACGTACCTTGAGTTATGAGGTGGGAACGTTACCCCTAGACTGCGGAGGCCGCTGATATAGCAGTAACTACAATAAACAAAATAGCTATTCAGTTTGACTTAAAAACAGACCTAAAAGCCTCTGGCTGTGATAGTTTATTAAAGTCAAACAAGCATCCATTATCATACAGTGCAACATTAAATTTTAGTCCACATCAAGAAATGATCTTCTCCTTTTGTGCCAATTAACCTTGTTCACTGTGAAACGTACCAAAGCCCAAGGACCGAAAAGTGGTTTGGGATAGGAAACTATATTAACAGTACAGACACCAAATGAATATAATAATATAAT